ACAATTCACAAAAAGTGTTTAAAGTTTCAAGAATGGTTCAGGAAATCTATTTTTAAGCAGATGTTTTTGAATTTTGTTATGATACTCAAATCAACGAAAGCAGATAGGACACTCAGCATTTCCATATTAAGTCCTCAAAAACATGCAGAATGTTTTTCCTGCATCTCGTTCCTTCTCTGAATTTTCCCTTCCTCACAGGTCAGAACATTCTGCCTCAGAGAAGCAAACTATACCGAGATATAAAATTTGACCTTAATTCATCTAACAGAAACCAGAATTTCTCATACACGCAAATAGCATTATCAAAACTTTTTAAAACTTTTAATTTATTTATTTTTAATAGGAGAACGTGGCACATACCCAACTAACAGTTACCCTGTGATTTAGGTTTTGCCTTGCCTGGGCAGAGTTTTTGAACACATGTGATCCTAATTTCCAGTGAAGACATGGAAATATTATACAAGCTTTACTTTGGACTTTAGAGCTGCAGCCCGTGCTTCACACATTGTTCAAGAACGACCTGTCAGCTGATACTGCAATATAGCCCATCTGACCAAATCGGTATTTTGATACCTTATTAACCATCTCAAGCATTTGTTTTTTCTCCCTTTAACTAAAAAACTAACAAACAAACAAACAAAACCCAAACCAAAACAACATCAAAAGCCTACCAAAAAAAAAAAAAAAAGGAAAGTCAAACCCAAGATGCCACTGAAACAGTGGCTGAATATAGCAGATTGAGCATTCAGGAAGACTGAAAAAGCAGAGTTAGTTTTTTTCAGTGGCTATATTGCACAAGTTTAATGCTTGAAGCTCTGGCACTCGACTGGTGCCATCAGCTTAACCCATCTGATTTTGGTAGGCGGGCATCTTCTACGGAGAACAGTCTCTCTCGATAGCGCAACGTAATTTATGCCTGGAGTTGGGCATTAGGAAAACTTCCCCTCTAGTGCCGCACAGACACCACAGCATCGCTCCCTCTCCTGGCGCAGCGCTGCCCTGCAGGAGCGGCGGCGGGATGCGGCGATCCGGGATCCGGCGATCCGGGATCCCGCGGGGCGGCCGCGGCACGGACATGTTCGGTGTGGAGACGGGGTGAACGGGGCCAAAGGATGCTCAGAATGCGAGCTCGAGCAGTGCGGCACTGAAAGTCACATCTGCGCAGCGCGGGGGGCTCACGGCAGGCTGAGCTCACGGCAATCCCAGGGAACCGCGTTCCCGTGCGCTGCGGTAGCAGCGGGAGCAGAACGCCGCGTTCTGTGCGATCTGCGAACGCACTCCCCCGGCACCATAAACACCATTACAACGGGGGGAGGGACGGGGGGGAACAGCTGCTAGAGCTTTATTTCCAGCGCAGCCTCCCGGGGGCCGAGACACCGCGGGACGACGGCGGGCGGGACACAGGTGACGGTCCGGCCCCCGCCCGCCCCTCTGCGGGGCCGCCCCGGAGGTGACGGAGCCGCCATTGTTCTCCGGCAGGAAACCGGCGGCGGTCCCGCGGCCGCGGCGGAACCGGGGGGGCCTGAGGGAGGGCGGAGTGGCCCCGCCCCCTTCGCCGCGCGCCCCCGCCCGGAACCCAAAGGAACCAACGGGAGCAACAACAATGACTGACAGGGACACGCGGCCAATCGCGGCGAGCGGAGGGCGCTCGCGCCCGCCCCTCCCTCCCCCGGCCATTGAGGAGCTAGGGGAGGCGCGAGGAGCAGACTCCCCCACCCCCCTGCCGGGGACACGTCAGTCACGGCCCGAGCGGCTGCGGCTGCCCCGCCCCCCGCGGCGGCCCCGGCCAATCAGAGCGCGCGAGCCGGGGCCGGCCGAGATATTCAAATCAACCCCACCGAAAAGTTGCCTCTCGCGACGTCACGAGCGGGCGGGACGTGCGGCGGGGCGGGGCGACCCCTGAGCCAATGGGTGGGGGAATACGGCGCGCGGCCGGTCCGCGGGGAGGGCCCCGCCCTATCAGCGCCGCCGGGGGGCGGGACGAAACGCGATATGCTAACGAGCGGCGTCTATAAAAAGCGCAAGGCGGCCCCTTCCCTAGCACAGCGCGGAGGTGCCCGCTGGACGTGGCGGCTGGGGATATAATGCCCGCCCTGCCCTTTCTTATCCTCTCCTCCCCTCCCGCCCGGCCAGCCCCCCGTAGGCTCCCGAGGAAGTTTCCCTCGGACCCTTCCGCCAAGAGCTGCCGGGCTCCCCTGGCGGGCTGCCAGAGGAGCTGCTGGGGGACCGGCAGGCAGGGCTCGCTGCCCACCGCCCCTAAGGCCACATGCATGGGGGCGCGGGGAGGGAAAAGGGGTTCCCCCGCCCGGTACCCCGGCTGTCAGCGCTGCCAGCGGCACCGAATAAAGCCCCCGCTCCCCTCCCCCCTTCCCGAGTGGACGCCAGCGAGCAAGTGACAAAGCTGCCCCGAGTCCCGCAGACCGGCCTCCCCTTCCTTTCCTCCGCCCGTGGGGACGGGGACGGCGTGCCCCGAGCACGAGCAGGGGAGGGGGCGCTTCAGCCGAGCCGTAAACGCGACCGTAAACCCCCACACTCACACCGCACACGCCGGTCCTGCCCCCCGGAGCGGGGCTGTTTCACCGGGTGAAACGAAACCCACCGAGGAGGGAGCGAAGAAAGCACACCCTGCCCCCCACTCTCGCCTAACCCTCCTCTCCTCTTCTCCCTCCCTCCTTCCCTCCCTCCCTCACTAGCTGCCTCTCTCCCCTACTACAGCCATAATGAATACTGTACATTCCTAAATGTTGTGCTGTAATCTCTCCCTCTCTGTCCACCCAGCACTTTCTTCCGTACCCCGAAATCCTTGCACCTCAGCCCCATGGCCAAGGACAGCCCCCCTTTGTGCACTGCACACCCCACTTCCCTGCCCCCGCCTTCTTGGCCAGCAATTTACACAGAAAAGCAGAGTCCTTGCTTAATAAGAGAAGCCGGAGACCTTTTGTTCCGCCCCATGACAAGAGCTAACGCTGCAGATCAGCCCCTCTCTCTCCTCGGATCTTTCCTCCCGGCTTTCTCCCTCCTTTCACCCCCCAAAAATAAAACTACCATCCCTGTGGGGTGCAGAGGGGCAAAAGGAGCCGAAGCTCAGCTCTGAAGAAAAGAAAGGCAAAGACACCCTCCCCCCCCCGAGCCCCATACCACACACACGGACACATACACACACATATAGAAAGCACTTACCTTGATATTTGGCGTCAATTTCCCTCATCAAGGAGACATTTCTCTGCAGATCGAAGGGCATAGACTCGATGGAGTCCAGATAATCCTCCACATAGTTCACTAGGTGAAGCTGGTCTCCGTTTGCAGGACTCAACATTTTCATCCGGCAAAGAAAAAAAAATCCTTCCCCACACCTCTCTCTGTGTGAGAGCAAGTGCTGCTCCCTTCAAAGACGGTAACCCCGATGAAGGGCTCACTCCCTGCCCACCTCTCTCGGTAGCTCCCCCCAAAAAAACCGAGGGAAGCTACATCTGACTCCTCTTCTGTGAAACAGAGGGGGAGAGAGACACACACACACCCTCCGCTAGTCCCCTACAGCCAGCAGCAGCTGATTGAATGGCTGTCGTTGTGGGTAATTCACGAAGGAGGTGGTAGGAACAATCAGAGGGATTTGTGTGTGTGTGTGTGTGTGTGTGTGTGGAGAGGGGAGGGGGGGGAGGAGGAGGAGGAGAAAGGAGGGGGGCTTAAACCAGCTCCTCCGAAACAATCTGGAAACAAAATGTGCTCTGCAAAGTGTCTGTCAGAGGCAGCGGCAGCCCCTCTGCCTGCGCCAGCGTCGCTCTGCTCCGCTTCTCCTCCGCTCCCCCCTTCCCCGCTCTTTCCTCACCGCCGCCGCCGCCGCTCCCCGCCGATATCAACGCAGCCTCCTCGCTCCCATACGCCGCGCTAGATCCAACGTGGAAAACCCAAATACCAGTTTCAAACACTTGGGAAACATTCGGCCCCGCCAGGCAGGGCGCATGCGCTGCCCTCCCAGCGCTGTGTACACACACTCACACACACACACTCACCGCACACACCCGCTCCCTTCCCCCGCCCGGAACCTCCGCATATCCATCGGCCCGCCTCCCCTTACTCACGTTTGGGGAGGGAGGGAGGGAAGGCGGCGGGGATGCGGTCCGAGCCAGGGGGCGGGCGGCTCAGGGCCGGCGTGGGCGTGGGGAGGAGGAAGCCCCGGGGAAGGCGGAGGCTCCGGTGAAGTTGTGTGGAGGCTGCGAGGAGAGCGGCCCGCGGGGAGGCTGGGGCGGGTAGCGGGGGCAGGTGGATGCTTTTGCGGTAGGGCACCGGGACTTTGGAGGAGTCTCTCCTGCCTTCTGCCAGCTCGCCCCAGGAAGGAGCGGCTCCAAGGGCTTTCCTAGGAGAGAGGGACACTGAGACCGGTGCGACGCCCCCCCGCGCTGCGGGTAGGGCTGTGCCCGGCGCGGCGCCGGACGCGGAGGGGGACGGGGAGCGCTCCCTCCCCGCTCAGCGGGCACCCGCAGCCATCACCCTGACAGCCGCCACAGCCAATCGCCGCGCCTTTCGGGTCCCGCCCCGCGGCCCCCTCGGCCAATGGCGGGCGGGCGGGCGGGCGCGCGCAGCTGTGACCGCGCTGCCCGGGATACCGCGGCCGCGGCCGAGGGGGCGGTGACGCCCGCAGGGGTAGGCGGGGCTGCGCGCGCGCACTGCCGCGGCGGCGGGGAGAAAATGGAGCCGTGAGGGACACGGCGGGACTACATTTCCCAGCGGCCCCCGGGCGGCCGCGCGGGAGGCCCGGACAGCTCATCCCACCGCCCCTCGTCCCGCGCAGCGGCGGGCGGAGAGGGCCGGGACACGGCGGGGGGGGGCTGCGCTGTGGGGGAGCCTGGCGGTGGAGAGGCCCGCGAGCGCCGCCGAGGAGAGGGAGAGAAGGAGAAGGAGCCCCGGGTACAGCCCCGTGCCGCCCGCCTTTTCCGTGCCAGGGCGAGCCGGTCGTGCGGAGGGACCCTGCTGTCGGTCAGCAGCGCCTTTGTGTCCTGCAGTCGCTGCCATGTCCCGGAGCCCGCGGGCACCCAGTTCCGCCGGGACTGAGGAAGGCGGGGCTGGAAAGCCCAACCTCGGCTCCGGCGGAGCAAAACAACGCGCGCTTTCTGGCTCTTGTTTTTTAGCAGACGTCATCGGCAGTCCCCTAATTTAGGGGGGACTGACTCATCACTTCTGAGCGCCCAGACCTGCTGGTGCAGTCGCTGTTTGGTGAGGCACCGGCGTTGCTCTGCTTGTTGCAGGGAGTGAAGGGAGCGGCGGCCCGTGTGTAGGGACTCCCTCGCCTCAGCCCCCCTGAAGTGTTTTTGCTGCCATCATCAAGTCGGTGCCTGAAAGCGCAAAGTTGGGTTTTCAGGGAAGCACAGGCAGCCCTTTGCCGATACCTCGCACCCTCCAGTGGGAGCCGGTACCGAAATAATTCTGAGGAGTGGAAACGGTACCATAGACTAAGCCTGTTTTGATCCGACTCCGACCCACTTCTTCGGGCAGGTGTCACAGGGCAGTTGCTTGTTTTCTGAAGATATTTGTAAGTTCTCTCGGTTTTTCTTCCTCTCCTTTTCTGTTTTCATGAGTTGCTGTAAAAAAAAAAGAGTTGCTGTTGTAAACCTCATATACGCAAGACCTTAGGTTTTTAACTTAAGAGTGAGCACTATAGCATCTAGGCAGCACTCCAAGCCAGTACTTCTGGACCTGTGTGTGGTGGCATAGAAAGGGAATTGTCTGATGGCACCACTGGCCTGGGGACACCTGTTCCACGTTGTTGGCATCACTTTGGTAGTTAGAGCCTGTTTCACTTGTGCCTTGAAGAAGCTGAGCCGCTGTCAGCAATTAAAGGTAGTTAACAGTCCCCTGGGTAGTGTGAGAACCCAAGCCAATAATTATGACTCAGTAGAGGCAAGACATCTGAAAAGAATTCAGATGACTCCTAAAAAGAGTAACTCTTGTGGAAAAAAAAAAAAAGTAATCATCATTCTAGACACACAGTAGTAATTACATATACAAATGAGAAATCAGTTTGTAAAAGTACCTGCTAATTTAGTAAATAGGAACTTCTGTCCCTCCTCCTTATAGATAAAATTAGGAAGGGAAACTTTGAAGTGTAGCTGCAGCCTGCTAAGCTTAAGTAATCATCTCAAAGGTGTTGATAAATTGGATGCACTGAGGATACTGAGCTTGGTATTCATCTGCCTCTTATAAGTGCCATCTACTAGATCATCCCCTGTTAGCTTCTCCTATGTCAGTACAAGAGTGACAGAGAGAAAACCACTATCGAACTTTGCATAAGTCCTCAAGAAAGGATGGGACTGAGCTCACCTGTAAATGCATTTAGTATCTGTTTTGAAGATCCCCTTTTGAAGATGCTCAGTGCTCTGTATAGCTGATATAGGAAGGTGTGGAGTTGATGCCCATTGCCCATCTCTGCTTTTCCTCCTCTTTCTTTTTATTTTGGCCTCTTGTCTCTGAACTACAGTAGGTGAGAGATGGGAGATTTTGAATGGAGTTTCAGAACATTTTTTTTTTTTTTTTTTCCAACCAGGAGCCCATTTCTTACCCTGGTGAAGAACTCACAAGCAGAAGTGGTTGTCATATGTCAAAGAAGGAAGAGACTCATGGATTTCATTTTCTTCCTTCTCCCTTTCTTCCTTCCTACTTCACTAGAGGATACAAGTATCTAATTCTTCTCCTCTTGCTCCCAAGTTCGTTTGCTCTGTTTTATAAAGAATCCTATTTAGGAACCTGAATTTCTGGGGTTTTCAGAAGTTTCTGGAAGCTGTTACCTTTCTAGATATCTAAACTCACAGCAGTTGCAGTCAAGGGAACCTATAACTAGACCAACAACTCATGCAACTACTGTGTAATATACATACTATGTATATATAAAATATTATATGCTTCATATAACATATAAATATTTTAGTAATTATAGTTGTTCCAGTTGTTATTCCAGCTCATCAGAGTAAAGTTCAGAATACTTCATATGAGGATCCCAAACCTCTGAGCATGTTCCACAATATGCAGATACTGTATATAACAGGATAGCTGGTGCAAGGAATTCTGTCTGCCTCCTTCCTCCTTCTCTGCCTTAGCTGAATTTTACTATATGAAATACTATGTAATCATTATGGCTCTGTCTCTGTTTAGTAGAAAAGATAGCGTCTTCTGATTTTGGTCATTATACTTAATATGCACAGATGAATCAGATGAGTTATTCCTGCTAATGAATTGCTGTTTCCACGCCATTTAATCGCTTAATCCCTCTTCTATAGTTACATACAGTTGGAGGGTTTTTTCCTTGCTTGTTTGTCTGTTTATTCTTTGAGGCTAAGTTCATGCTGACTTGGACATAATGCTTACCTGATGTTAATAGAATTTTACAAGTCTATTCATTTTGCTTGTGGTTGAAGGTTTTGAAACAAAAGTGCAAACCGTTAACATGCAAGATGAGCAGAGCTGAGGTTTCCAAGTATGAAAACCAGCAGAGAAACCATGGTTCACACTTACATGCAATATGCATTGGCTGTGCAGTGGATAGTTGGGCCAGAAATACCCATTTGTGTCAGCAACTGATATGAGATTAATGTATTCAAAATCTAGAAAACAAATGTAGTTGAGTTTCTCCTTTTTCTGCTTCCCAGTAAAGGCTCAAGAACTTTGTGAACTTCGCGAACTTCCCAAACACCTACCTAACACAGGCCTGCCATTCTAAACTTCTTTTTTTTAATCAATTAAGTCCTACTTAAGGATTTCACTGGCTACAGCTCACCTCTTCTGCTTGCCCCAAGACAGTTGCACTCAATGCCTCTTTTCACACCTGTTTTCTGGATGCTCTTTTACTGGCCATCTCTTTCTTGCACCTGCTGCATTGGTGCACCTCCAAAGCTCTAGTGAGCTTATACAGCATTAATCTGGCATTAAAGGTGAGCAAAAAACTCTTGAGTGGAACTAGTAAGTATGTATTGCAGTAGAAGGCCAAGACAGAAGTACATCTGTGTTCCTAGAGTGTCAACACAGTCAAAACAGATCAAGGGCAGCATATTCCATGGGCTCCACATTCTTTGGAGAGTTCAAGAGAGCTATACCTCAACAATTGGAAACCACCGACAAAGACACCAGTCGGAACTGTGACTGAATTCGTACCAATCCTCAGGCTTGTTTCTGTCAACCGTGGTGCAGGACCCAAACACTTCGGGTGATGAAAAACAGGCAGTGTTTGTCAGAGCAATTGATGGGTAGATTGTCCGAACAGTAGTAGATGATGCTAAAAACTACTACACTTTTGGTATAAGCAGAAAAGTTTATTTGATTCTTTATGTCCACCAGTGAAATTTCTTTTGCAGTCTTATTCCATTTCCCCAGAATCACCCTTTTGAAATAGGTATCTCAAGATAATTTCTCGTACATACAACAACATCTTTACTTTGTGAATATTTGGTGGAATGGTCACCCAACATTTACAATATTTCTGAGCCAAGCTTTTGGTAATAAGTTTGAGACAATTTTTATTCTGCTTTTAAAAATCAAGATTCTGAAACAAACCAGTATGCACCTAGATTTTGTACAACTAAAAGGACTACAAAAGGTAAGTCAAAATGTGTGTATTATTATAGAGTGCTACAGAGCACCAAGAGAAATTCATCCACTGCAGTGGATTTAGCTCATCTTTGCTTTTGGTTTGTAGTTTGTCTTTATAATGTTTCCCTACCTTATTTTCTCAGGGTCAGCTTCCGTGCCAGGTTCCTGAACTAGAACATGACAAGAAAGGCCACAGATACTGGTAACACGCTCTTTGATAACACAGCAAATGCAGCCTTTTTTTCCTCTGTCAAAAATTCTAAGCCAGTATGGTTTAATTTTTTAGAAGAAAAATACAACACCTTTAGCAATAGAGGGAAAACCGTAAAACCTTACAAAGCATGTGTATCCTAATACTAAATGGAAAGGAAGAATGATTTTTTAGCTTTATTCATGTATGATACAAAACATGATCTGGGATTTGCCCACTGATCTTATCTCTAGGGACAAATCTTGTAGGTACTCCTGGGACTGTAAACTGGAAAATAGAGGAGCCAGGTGAGCTAAAATCCCCAGAGATCCTCCCTGCCTCCCACAGATGCGTTGCCATGTGTGCTGCTGGTGGACAGCACACACAGCTGTGCTGCTAACAGATTTTTTCCCTTTTGATAAGGATGAAAGGGAAACATTGCCTTCTTGCATGTGCAGATAAAGGGGCAGAAAACATCTAGACCTATTCCAAGGTGTTTAGGAGTCACCCCTTTACCTTAGTTTTTATTTTTAATTTAACTTCAGTTTTTATTTAAAAGGAAGTTTTAGCCTTAACGCCTCCTAAGAAAAACATAAGATGACCTGAGAATATTACATACATGTGTGTCCCCTTGAAACAACAGTTTACCTGAAGCTCAGACACCATGCCCCAGTGGGATTGTGACTTAGAGATATACTGCTCTGCAGATCCCATTTCTTACTGGCTGTTCAGAAAATACAGAAGTAACAGGAGTACAGGAGGCCCGGGTCTGGTATCAATTGGGTGTACCCTGGCTCCAACTGCTGGCAACCTCTAAAGGTATCTCCTACTCCAGGTGGAAGCAGAGGTCTCCTGATGGAGGCAGAAAATCCTTTGCTGCTATTTTGCCTCTCTGGTAGGTGACTGTTGTCTCACTGCTTGTGTCCTAGGCCAGGAATAAGGCTATTGGTATAGCTGGCATAAGTGGAGGTGTGCTACAGCCACAGACCAGTTTTTTCTGAGAATGCTGTTTTTTTTAAAAAATGAATTAATTTATTGTTCCAATCTACCAGGATTAGTTTTGCTTTTATTTGAAATTACTTTATTTGGGTACTTCAGTGCTTGAAGAATACTTTCCACTGTTCCACTGAATATATTTTACTACATTAAAACAAATCTCAAGAGTGAATGATGTTAGCCGTTTATTTCAGACATTTAATTATTGTGGTCTTTCCCACCATCAGAAAGTAACGTTTTATAACAAAACATAGTGGTTTCTGGACTAAGAGCTAAAAGCCAGTCTAGATAGCACAGACACTTAGCCTTCTGAAAGCACTGGGAAGGAGAAAGCTCCTGCGTTCCTCTGAGCTGTTAGCAGTTTCATCCATGATAGCTAAATCTGGAATTAAGACTAAAAAACATCCATTGTTACTTTGTATTGACTTGGACTCTGTCAAAGTGCTTGGAACCATACGGAACAAAGAAGACAACAGAGTTAATGACAACTCTTACCTAGATGTGTGTGGAACAGCAAAGACATCAAAACCAGCTCACTATGGAAACTGAAATAATTGGCTTGTGAAGCTTCCTGAGAAATATATAAAGTAAACATTTACAAAGGTTATTGGATGGTGTCTTCAGTTTCATCTAGATAGCTTCAAATTAGCAAGCCCATAAATTAGGTTTCCTATTTGATCAAAAAGTTAAGATTGTTGAAATGACAAATTTTAAATGATTCTATTACATATGAGAAAAATCTATCGAATCTGTCCCTGGTAGATACA